TCACTTCTTCAGATGCATCTGAAGAAGTGAGGTTCTTACCCACGAAAGCTTATGCTCCCAGTACTTCTGTTAGTCTCAAAGGTGCCACAGGACCCTCTGTAACTTGTTAAAAGTCATTTATAAAACTGTTGAAACTCAAAGCATGTGCATCTCTCATTTACACTGGTAGAAATTAACACCAAATCTACATACTTTGTTTGCTTCCATTACGTGTAAATTAAGTCTTTAATGAGTAGAAATGTTTCAGAAGTAACCTACTTAGTGAAAAAATTAATCAGTGTATTAAATGCTTCTGTTTATTCTCTAGAGTCACAACAGCAAAAGACAAACAGACTCTAGCCAGTCATCTTGACACTTTTTTTGCCACTCTTCCAGTACTCCAGGTACTTGTGTATTACATTTATTATTTAAAACTGTGAGGGCACCCAAAATGTGCCAGGTACTTTCCAAAGAGCAATCCCTCTCCTTAGACCTGATGTCAGCACCACCCACCAGTTTGTGGATGTGACCTATCTGCTGCTAACCCAGAAACAAAATTAAATAAAATTGCTAAAAAAAACAAGTGGAAAGCTAGCAATAAATCTGAAGCCACACGAAAGGTTCAGGAGTAACAGTCCATCAGTTTGTGAACATTTGTGAATAAATAGACTGGAACTGATCAAGTTCATATTTGATGACCTCAGATCATAGTGTGAAGCCACTTCACTGGGCCCAAATAGCTGTAGTGGGATGCGATTTTGTAGATGAGTGTGGATTAACTTTCTAGTTGACATTGGTTAACTGCATTTTCTAGTAATCTATGTAGATCTGCCCAGGGAGAGAGTATATTCTTAAATCTGAAAATAAACTGAACAAATTCAGCAATCTATCTGGTACACTGAACAATCCTCTGAACCTTTATATTCAATAGTTAGCTTGGTATAATTTCTCATACTATTACCTTTCTTAACCGGTTCTCTGCTCTCCTCAGCCTCTCTGTTGATTCGGTTTTGCTCTGGTTCAACTGCAGGCAGCGGACTCTCCAATTCATCTTCTGTTTCATCATCACTGTAGGGCATTACCTCATCATTTGGCTGAGAGTCCTCATCAAAGGTTGTCTCTGAATCCCTGTCTGAATGCATTCTGCCAGCAGTCTGCAAACACTTGATAAAGGCAATGAATTGATAATTAATATAACAAAAGCATAAAAAGCATTCTAATCTGTCTCTTAAAATCAGGTTTGAAAGCAGCTCTGCTAAGAACTCCTTTTACTGAGTTCAGACTTCAATTTCAAAGATAGTTCAGAGCCATGGAACAGGATTTCTAATCCAAGACCTTTAACACATCTAGATTATCTTTTTGAAATTTTAAGCAGACTGATGTAATGATGATTGTAAATGACATACTAATTCCTTGATATACCCATAAATTCTAGCAAGTATTACAATAGTATTACTAACTTTAGGACCACATAGGTCTTTACAGCTGTTACTATACTGCAGCCCATGTCATCTCAAAAAGGAGACTCACTACGGATAGAATTCAGATCCTTCTGGTTCAGAAGATCAGGCTCTTACCACTTGAGCTAGGAGAGAACCTTCATTAGCAGTAACTGGTATAGGGACTATAATCAGTTCCAGTTGCATCCATTAGGAGGGCAGAGGGAGAAGCTCACACACAAGTAATTTCTTTCAATAAGTTTAAATGAATCTTTATTTTTCATATCAAAAAACCAAATGTGAAGTGTTTACTTCTACAGGATATTTGGACATCATGACTATTCTAATAAAAAAAATGGTAGAGACATTCATATTATTGCACTGTAAAATGTAGCATTCTGATGCAGTAATAAAAGTAATGTACTTAGAACGGATTACAAATACAAATTTACATTGGAGGCTTATACTATACACAAGTCTGTTTAAAAAAAATCCTCAGCATTGAACACGTTATTGTACCTACATACTCTCATAAGATAAAAGCATAGCTAGTCTTCACCTGTTCCTGAAAGACCCTTCAAAATGTTTAAATTCCAACTCCCAAAAGTCAAAATATAAACAGAGATTTGTGGTCTCTATTTTCAGAAGAAAAGCTTTTGCAAATTATGGCTTTTGAGAAACAATTCCTTTTAAAATGTTCAAAGATCTGGCCTTTTCTGGATTTTCACAATCCTGGATATGAGCAAGACTTCTAAGAGGAATCATCAGTCTCATCTATTAAAGTATTTTTAAAGAGCTGAAAATTGTTAATTTTGGAGTATTTTCAGCATCTTGTGAAGGATCATTTCCTATTTTTGCAGTAAGCCTCCAAGATGCATATTTCAAAGCGTTAGGTCATTTTTAAAAAGTCGAGTTTTTAAAAATATACTTAAATGGTACAGAAATGCCTTCATTGAATTATACAATCTGGTGTTAATCTTCAAAACATGAAATATAAATTTAATACTATTCTTCTACGTCATGGTTAAGATGTTAAAGACACGGTGTGTTCATTAGCAATTAAACAGGACTGATGGAACCATTTTTAATGGAACATGTTTAATAATTCGTTTGCCTATCCAGACTTGCCCTGATAACAGATTGCAAATCACACTGTAGACAAGTTTGGAAACCCACCCATGAAGCATTTCACAATTATGAGCCCTGTCATTTGGGAGAAAGAATATGAACAGAAAAAGATGAATGATAATTGGGAACAGTAAGATATTTTACTAGATGCCCAGAGAAGGAAGGTCACACTGCTTAAAAAAAAAAAAAAAAAACAATCTGGCATAGAGAGGAAGTAAAAGCAGCAATTTAAAAACAAAACAAAAAAAAACCACCACATAAACAGAAGAAAGTGGAAGATGATAGAAATGAATATAAATCAGAAACTAGGAATTGCAGAAAATTGATAAGGGAAGCAAAAGGACACTTGGCAAAATCTACAGCCAGCAGAGTTAAGTATACTAGGAATAAAAAGAACCTTAATAATGGTATTAGCCTATGGAATGGAAATGGTAACAGTCAATAATAATGCAGAAAGAGGAAAAGGTGTTCAATAAATATTTTTCTTCTGTATTTAAGAAAAAACCAGATGATGCAATCTTGTGTAATGATGAAACACTTTCCATTCCAAAAACAACTCAAGAGGATGTTAAACAGCACCTCCTAAAGTCATGCATCCGACGAAGTGGGCATTCACCCACGAAAGCTTATGCTCCAATACATCTGTTAGTCTTAAAGGTGTGCTCCTCAAGTTAGAATTTTTTAAAATCAATAGATCAGCATAATCTGTACCCAAGAGTTAACACACATACACACACACAAGCCAAGGAGTTCTCTTGACTGTTCATGTGGGTTTTCAAAAAATCTTGGAACTGTGGGGCAGTTCCAGAAGAATGCAACTGTTATACCAATATTTTTAAAAGGTAAATGAGAGGACCACAATACTTATAGGCCTGTCAGCCTGACATCACTCCCAAGCAAAATAATGGAACAATTGATACAGGACTTAAAGATTAAAAGGGGGGTAATTGGCTGCTAAATGTAACTGTGTTCGTGTAATATACTTAGTGGTTTGTAAGGCATCTGACTTGATTCCATATGACATTTTGATTAAAAAACTAGAATGATACAAAATTAACATGGCGCACATTAAATGGGTTAAAAGTCAGCAAACTGATTGGTCCCATAATTTAATTTTATGCAGGAACCATCTTTGAGAAGGTATGTTTCTAGTGGGTCCTACAAGGATTGTTTTTTGGCCCTATGCTACATCACATTTTTATTAGAAAAAACCCCCAAATCAATGATAAAGTTTACAGATGACACATATTAGGGGAGTAGTAAATAATGAAGAGGCCACTCTTTATTCAGTATTTTGCACATATTGGACACTAAACTAATTACAGAACACTGCTTTAAATATGGGCCCAAATCCTGCAACTGGCATCATACAAGCAGACGGTTGCACCTTCACCAAGCCCCACTATCTTCAATAGGGCTCTAAGTGCAGCATCCCACGCGCATACTTATGGTTTCAGGATCAGGGCCATGTACACGTAACTTACCTGTATATGCTTGCCAATGAAGCCATGTAAATATAAACAGTGTTTAAAACAAATTTAGAACTCTGTTTAAACATATGCTGTCTCCTTGGTAGATGGAGGATGCCAGAGAAAACAGACAGGTAACATCAGATTACTACTTCTACCCTCCATATCAGGGACAATAGGCAACTGCTAGTCATTTCTTTCAGTATAACTTCAATTGTAGAGAGTTAATTACTGCCTCAGATTTGTAATTATTTAAAACTACAAATCTCCCTACCAAAAACCATATAGAAGCAGGGCCAGCTCTGACTTTTTTGCCATCCCAAGCAAAAAAAAAACAGGGTGCAGGGCGGCTGGACCCAGAGGCAAAGCCAAAAAAAAAAAAATAGGGCAGCCGTGCCACCCTAAGATTGGATGGAATGCCGGCCCTTAGCATCTACCGCCCCAAGCACAAGCTTGCTTGGCTGGTGCCTGGAGCCGGCCCTGTATAGACGTTTTCCTGTGTTGTGGAGGGAGCCATTTTAAAGTGTGATCATTGAACTTTCCCCAATTTGCTAAACAGAAGATTTGAGGATAACTATTATAGATAATTCATTTATGGTTTTTGTTTTTTGTGTTTTTTTTTAACTCCAGGAGTTTTAGCAAAAAAGATCAAGGCCTTTGGCCACACATGCCTTTGGGGATAGTGAGAAATCATGGCAATCATAGAATCATAGAATATCAGGGTTGGAAGGGACCTCAGGAGATCATCTAGTCCAACCCCCTGCTCAAAGCAGGACCAATCATCCAACCAATTTTTGCCCCATATCCCTAAATGGCCCCCTCAAGGATTGAACTCACAACCCTGGGTTTAGCAGGCCAATGCTCAAACCACTGAGCTATCCCTCCCCCCTAATCTAAAGGCCAAATGGCAATCTAAAGGCCAAATGGATGACATAACACCTGTACTTTATTTTTTCTCTGTTCCAGGGCCTACATTTGTAAAATGTAACCCTACTCCCATCATACTGCACTTGAATGCTGAAACATTAGACGTTCGCTTTATATCAATTTTCAAAAGCTAGCTTAACTCTGACTAATGAGCTAATAGAATGTCTCTGTGCCAATATACCATAGCTGGCCTATGATTCAAAAGCTAAATGGGCTTCTTTGAACCAGATCAATGAGCTACTTTTGTCTTAAAATAAAACAAAAAACAAAAAGTGGGGGCAGCCTTAATGATACTAAACTACCATTGAGAACACAAAAGTTCATTTCTTTACTAAACGTAAAAAGTTCAATATAGTTATCCATTGCCATGGAACAAGATAACACTCTCAACAGACTCAGGTTCAGCTGAAGCAACATCAGGTGTGTATTCTGAGAACACAATGCAGAATCTAGTGGGTAAGGAGCCAGACAACTGTTGTGCTTAGCAGAATATGAAGGGCACTCACTGAGTTCTTGTATAGCCAGCGTAAGCAGCCTCAGGTGAACAATGACCAGTGAGAGATATGCTATTCTAAATCAATTACAAGCCTTGCACAGGCTGCATGAGCTCCTTATATTTACCCTCCCTTCAAGGATGCCTTCCAGGTTTCTCAAGTCTGGACTTGGCAGGGTAGGCTTGGTGAAATTCCCTAATCTTATCAGATGTGTGGCTGTGACTGGTGGGGTTCCCACGACTGGTCAGCTGGCCCATAAATTTTCCAAGTCACAAAGTACCTCACAGTTTGCTCCTCAGTTGACTAACTGAGAGTCCAGGATCCATCGTATAAGAAATTCTTCATGCCCCTGGAGGATGACTGACTGAGGCTTGACTCATCCAGGAAAGGGAGTGAGAGTACCTGGCTTTAAACAGCAAAACATGGAAGACAGGATCCAAAGGAGGTGAACAGGAAGCTGTTTGACCAAGATGGGGTTTATTTGCTGGATAATTTTACATGAACCCAAGTAAGGATGATCTACTTTACGTGAGGGTGAATGGAGGTGAGATTCCATGATGATAACCATACCCAGTCAATGAAACAAGGGACTTCCCAGTGATGTTGGTACACAATACTTGTAGCTATTTTTGGCAGAATTGAGATGTTTTCTCAGTTCCTCTTGGACATGGTACAAAATGCTGGACTAGGTGGATGGCTGTG